GATTGAACCCAAGGTCACTTAACCACTCAGCCACATTCCCAGGACCCTCCTTTTTTCAGTTGTAGATGGACACAATACTTTTGTTTTATTTATTTTTATATGGTGCTAAGGATCAAACCCAGTGCCTCACATGTGCTAGACAAGGGCTTTACCACTGAGCCACAACCCCAGCCCTCCCAGCCTATTTTATTTTTTATTTTATTTCATTTCATTTTTGAGACAAGATATCCCTAAGTTGCTGAGGCTGGCTTTGAACTTGTAATCCTCCTGTTTCAGTCTCCCAAGCTGCTGGGATCAGAGTCTTGTGCCACCATGTTCAGCCCTTTATGTCTGCCTCCACGTCCTCACTAATTGCTCTTAAACCCCTTATAATATGTCAGTGACCTCAGGTTGTCGAAAGCAACACCATCTCTTCCTCGACATCTCTGTGACATTTAATCCTGTGGAACACCCCTTCCTCTAGGAGACATCCTTTTCCTAGCTGCCAAGCCACTGTCTCTTCTTGGATTCCCTCCCATCTTTCTAAAATCCATTTATTATCCTCTTCCTCTTCCTACTCCTTAAGTCCAGTTTCTTCCAGGACTAGTCTTCAAATCTCATTCTTTTCTCTCTGCAACAGCTTCTTCCGTTTCTGCCTCACTCTCATCTTTACCCAAATGAATCTTATGTCCAGATTCCCAGGTCTGATTTTCCTCCTAGGATCCAGTCCCATCTTTCTAACCACTCTAAAAAATCCCCATACAGGCATCCCACCAGCACCTGATGTTCAAAATAACCCAAAATAAACTTTTAGAATCTGTTCTCTCTTACACTCCATGGTGTCTTCTTCTGGCAAGATTGTTCTCCAGTAACCTACATAAGCCTGTCAGGACTCCTTTCCCCGCCCTGGCTCACCAGGTTGGGAAGTTCATCTGATTCCACCCCAGTTCTCTGTTGAGGTTCCCCCTTCTCCCTGTTCCCAGCCTTGCCCAAGTCCACACCACCACCCTGCTTAAATTCCTGGCATGTCTGACCAATCAGTTTCTTCTTATCCTCTCTGAGACATTTAATCCTGCTCCTTCCACCAACAACTGTGTATTTTACCAGAGCCCTCCATGGTTACCCACTGTCCACAGAATAAAGCTGCCCTTCTTGGCCTACCAGTCAAGGCCTTGCACTTCCGCCCCAACCTCACCTTCCAAATAAATTTCCTGCTGCCTCACTCCCATCTGCCCACCCTCATCCAAGAAAGAACAATGGTACATTTTCCTGGATCTCTTCAGGTCCCCATTCTTCTGATTCCATGAGTTGCCTCATCCTGTTCCCTTTACGTGGATTTCCCTTCCTGATGTCTCCCTATGTCCTTATCCTACTTTATTCAAGGCCCAGTTTCATCTTTACTTTCTGACCTGCTTAGTCCAAGATAACCTGTCCCCTTCCTTCAGCCCACCTCACTTTTCCAGTGAGAGTCCCTACTGAACTGTAAGCCCACCAAAAACAGAATACCTATCTGCATTCCTCTAGTCCCATATATGAAAACAACAGCAACCCAATAAATATGGGATGAGTCCCTAAAATGATGAAATGCAACGAGGTGTTTGAAGGAAGGGCTTTGTGTATCTAAGCAACATTTACCTACAAGGGCTGTGCCATGGGAGATCTGGATTTGTTTCTGGAGTAGGAATGTGTCCAGGAGAGAGAGGTAAGCCTGGGTGCTCCATCCCAGTGTCCCACAGCAGTGGACCCCACCCCGTCCCACTCCTCCATTCATGATGGATGTTCCATACAGGATGCACAACATCTAGCCTTGTCCTTGTTCCTTAAGCCAGAAGCAGAGGCAGCCATCTTCCTTCTTTGTCCACACAGGTCAGGCTCCTTCCCAGTCCACACACCAGAGTGAGTACCGAATGGCCAGTAGTATGCAATCGAACCTATCTGGACTTCAGAAGGGAATAAGGGGGCAAAAGCATTGGCCAAGGCACAAAAGAGACCTGAATCTCAGCTCTAGCCTTCCATGGATTTTCTGTATGACCTTCACTGTAACGCTAAGATATGGGACAAAATCATCATTTCTTAAACTTCTATTACATGGGCCACCAAGCAAGGTGTCACTCTTTTGCAGGGGGATGCATCCATAAGTATATCCTGGTCTACCATTCCAGACTCTTTGTGGGAAATGGGGGACTAGATTTTCCCTACAGGGTCACTCAACTGTGACAAGCTAGGGGTGGAAGCTATGGTTTTAGGGAGCTGGAAGGGCTTCTGGGGTCTGCTCTCTCCCCAAGACCCTGAACTTCTCCCTTCTTTCAGCAGCCTCCCCATGGTGGATACTGGAGTGCCCTGTTGAGGTGACAGGAATGAAAACTCCTCCTGGAAATATCACAGTTTGGGGAGGGCTCCTTACATTCATACTGTACCCTTGTCTCTTTAGGAGGGACACTTTAGTCCTAGGACTAAAAATGGATACCCTCAGCATGCACAAATTCCTTGCTATTGGGATGCAGGGTGGGGCCAGAGCAGTTTGATGGTCTACAAACCAGGCCTAGGTGTGAAGGAGGATGAAGGAAAAATGGACACAGAACCCCCATGTCACAGATCTCCGCATCAAGTAACAGGAGGGACAACAGGAAGCACAAGTGTACTCAATGAGCCTTCACCAATAAACATTAATGGCTTAAATCCAAAGAAATGCTTTCTGGGCACCACCTACCTCACCCCACTTCCACGGAATCAGAGGAACAAAAGCATCACTCTCTTGATCTCTTGGGAAATCTCCCTCAGGTGACTTTATCCACCCCAGTTTCATACCCACCCACAGGACAGGTTTGTCAAAGAGAGAGGACAGAAGCAAATCCTGGTGGGTGAGATCAACACTGCTGGACATGCCTCTGTCACTGACTCAAACAAATCTGTCATTTCTCTGACCTTCCTTACCGTCTCTGGATAATGAGATCATCAAGCTATCTCTAGGGTCTTTTCCCCCTGTCCTTGAGCAGACCTGTCCCATGACCCAGACCATGGGGGAACCCAGATAGTTACAAGGACTTAGGGAAGCAGGTTGAGGGTGGAAACCAGGATGGTGTCTGGTGACAGGGGCCTTGCTACTTCATCTGAGTCCTGGCACAGGTGAAAGAGAGAGGGATGCTTGGTCTCCTGGTAGGTGATAGGGGCTGCAGAGCCAACCACCCTAGTCCAGAGCCACACAGGGACAGCATAAGTAGAAAAGAAAGCAGCACTGCATAGTTCCTACCCTTTGAAATGGGCAAGAAGGGGCTTCTATTGCCATCCAGATGAGAGCTGAGAGAAATGGGAGGGAAATACACAGTGGGGGAGTGAGAAGAGTTCAGGGACAAAGACGACTTTTGGCCAGGATAGCACAATTCTTGGGAAAATCAACCACAAGGAAAGATTTGTCATTATGGAGGCCTGGGGAACCACCTGGTGGCTTGGATGCTCCCATAGGCCCAGGAGAAAGCCACCTTTTGACTAAGCAATCTACAGCTGAGGCAGAGTGGTGATAAGGTGAGCAAGAACAAGGAGGAAGGGGTGCTTCCACACTGGGGGACGTGCCAGAGGAAGAGCACAGCACAGGGCCCAGAAAGGAAATAGCACAGAGATCCTTCCCACAAAGCATTTGCTTATTCCCTGAAGCAAGAGCCCCCAGCATGGCCTATGGAACATCACAGATGCCCAGTTCCCTCAGTGGGAGGAAAGATGAAGGATGTCCGTAAAAGGCTAGTAATTCCTATGGCCCTGCTATGTGGAGGCCTAGAGGTGGCAGCTGGGGCTGGGCCTCAGAGGAGGGGCTGCAAAGGGGAGGGGGTGGCAGTGGCTTGGGGCTCAGGATCCAATTACATAGCTGTTTCCATACTTAGCCACCTGACAGCCGCTTGGAATACTCACCACTCTAGCCACTGCAGCCCTGCAGAGCCCAAATTAACTCAAGGGCAGACAAGGGCAGGGCCCAGCAGCATGTGCTATGGCCGGAGCCCCCTGCAGAACCCCTAACCCCCAAAAGAATGGCTTTTGCTGCTCTTGATCTCTGCTCTTTGCCGGGATGATGCCTCTGCAGCCCCCTGTTCTCAGGAGACAGAACCTCAAAGACTTATAGAGACAGGAACCCCGGGTCCCCACAGTCCCATGTGCAGACATGGGTTAAAGGCTGAGCCTGGACACAGTGGGAGTCCTAGATTCCTAGGGGGATCCCACAGCCCCTCCCCAAAGCATCCCCAAGGGGAAGCTAGCCCCTGGAGTCTTAGGAATGAGAGGTGACAAAATGATTGGTGTCCCCTCTATAGCCTATAAATAACCTCCATGCTGCAACCCAAGCCACCGGCTCTGCCTCACACAAAGTGCTGAGATGTCAAAGGAAAGCCGAGCATGCAGAGCTAAGCCCCTTCCTGATGAAAGCCCCTGCCCCTCACAGAGGATCTCATCCAAAATGGGTCCCCCTCCTCACTGGACTCTGCATCTAATTCTATTTCCAGCCCAAATCCCAAATCTATATCAAACCCTACTAAAAAACTCCAAATCTAACCCAGTTTGCAAAATGATCCCCAAATTTGCCCACAGTATCCACCTCTATCTTCAGTCATGCAAACCCAGGGCTCTAGCCAGAGCCAAGACATTTGCCCTCTCTCCCACCCAGTGGGAGGGTAACCCAAATGACCTCCAGCTCCAATCTGTTATTTTGTCCATCTTGGAGTCTCCTCCAGACTTGATTTGTGGAGGTCTTCTCTCCCAGCTTCGGCCATCCAGGCTCCTCTCTCTGACCCTGGCCTAGCTCTCAGGCCCATCTGCCTCTCTTTACTTCCTCTATCCTCCCGCAAGCCATCCTATCCCCCAGTTCACTCTAGCACCTTGCTTCCTCCACAGCCCAGACCCCAAGGAGAAGGGTAATGACAGTGACACCAGAAAGGAGCAAAGCTTTGCCACTGGCTCTAAGTCCCCACTCCAGGGAACAGAAAACCTCAGGGAAGCATCTGGGGTACAGTGGGGTCCACTTGTGTAGGGGGGCGTACCTGATTGTCCTGAGAGCAGGAGCGAGGCCAGGAAGCAGCAGAGCAGGAGCAGCGCCCTCATGGTGACTGCCAAGAGAGCCCAGCTGCTCCTCGCCTCTATTTATATGGTGGGTATGGGAGGCAGCAGCATGCAAGGGCGGGGCGGGGGTGGGGGGCGGGTCACACAGTCACTAGGGCAACTGGGCAGACGTGATGAGGAAGAAGTCCAGACCCCAACAAACTGCTGCAGTTACTGTCCCAGCCTCCAGGCCCTGGAAGGCAGGGTCAGGGGCTGCATTTTTCTCCCCTACCCACAGCAGCCCTGGGATCGTATGAGATGGAATGAGGGAGACAAAGTGAGGTATCCCTTGGGCTTAGGTCCAGGAGTTGGAAGGCCCCAGGACTTGCTCTAATTTGATGTAAAGTCTGGGGCAGGTCAAGGCCCTGATCATGCCTCCAACTGAAGAAGCTGTAGGGCAAACTAAGAGATTCTATTTGATAGCCACTGATAGGCATTCAAGGGAATGTCCAGTTAAGGAAAGCCTGTGACATCTGACCTTTGAGGTCCACGGCTGGGCGCTTAACCTTCCTGGGCCTCTGTGGAGAGAGAAAGTGCTGAGCAGAGGGAAAAGGGGGACACTGAGAGATATGGCTGAGGTTGTGATGTAAGTCAGAGGTGAAGCGAGAGATCCATCTCCAATGGGCAGGGGCTCCAGAATGTTACATCACCTCTGCAAAGTGTCATTTGATGCAGTCTTCCTAAGGGCACATGATGGTCCAGAAAGCCAGCTGTATGAAGCCCTAGGACAACAGACACTGGCCTGTCCGGCTGGAGGGAACAATGTCACCATGAGGGGAGGCTGCAGAGTCAGCCTGGAGGAAAGGAACTAAAACCTAGGTATGTCAGGCACTAGAACTTTATTTAGGTATAATCAATACACAACACACAATTCACCTTGATAAATTCTGACATGTGTTTAATTGTGAAGTGATAAATACAATCAAGATAAGGAATAGAATGCTCACTTCACAGTCCCTCCTGAACCCTTCCCAGGCAACCACTGATCTGCTTGTTATCTATATATGTTGGTTTGCATTTCCTAAGTATTGCTATAAATGGAAACATACGATGTCCTTTTTTGCTGCTTCTTTCACTTGTCATAATTTTTGAGGTTTATTCATGTTGTATTAATCATTTGTTTCTATTACTGACTAGTCTTTCATTATATGGTCAACACAATTTGTTATTCATGCACCTGAGGACAAACATGTGGGTTATTTCCAAGGTTGGAATATTACAAATAAAGCTGCCAAAGGATGGGGTTGTAACTAGTGGTAGAGCACTTACCTAGCATGTGCGACGACCCAGGTTCAACCATCAGTACTACCAATAAGTAGAAAAATAAAATATACCCATGAACATTTGTGTACTATCAATTTACAGATATATGCTTTCCTTTCTCTTGGATAAATGCCTTTAAGTGGAATGGCTAAATCATGAGAGTTCCTAGGCACCCGCTCTACCACTGAACTACAACCCTAGCCCCTCTCACTGTAGTTTTAATTTGCATTTTCCTATGACTAATGACATTATGTTTTTTTTTTTTTTTTTTAATTTTTTTTGTTGTATATGAACTCAATGCCTTTGTTTTTGTTTTTATGTGGTGCTAGGATAGAATCCAGTGCCTCACACTTGTGAGGCAAGTGCTCTACCACTGAGCTAAAACTCCAGCCCAAACATTGTATTTTCATGTGTGTATTTGCCATCTACTTCTTCAGTGTTTTTGATGAAGCGCCTCTGCATTCAGTTATTACAGAATATTGTTTTATTTGGTTTTGAGAGTCATTTATACATGCTGGATACAAGTCCTTTATCAGACATGATTTACAATATTTTCCCCTAGTCTCAATTGTCTTTCCATTTACTTAAGTTAATTTATATATTTATGAATATATTGTGGTAGAAATCGAACTCAGGGCCTCACACTTGCTAGGCAAGTGCTCTACCACTAAGCCATATTCCCAGCCATTAAAAGTCATTCAAAGAGAAGTTCACCAAACATGGTGGTGCATGCTTATAATCTGACGTAGGAGGATCCAAGTTTGAGACCAGTCTGGGCAATTAAGCAAGATACTGTCTTAAAATGAAAATTTCAAAAGGGTGGGGATATAGCTCAGTGGCATAGAATCCCTGGGTTCAATCCTCAGAACTACAACAAAGCAAAACAAAAATTGACCATATATGTGAGTCTACTTCTGGACCATATCCTGTTGCATTATCTATGTGTCTGTTCTTTCACTAAAATGTTGTCTTCATGACCACGACTTCCCACTAAGTCTAGAAATCAAGTACTGTGGATCCTCCAACTTTGCTCTTTTTCAGAGTTCTAGACAGACAAAATTCTAGTTCTCCTGCATTTCTATATGAATTTTACAATCAGCCTGTCAATCATTTTAAACAGCATTCTTGGATTTTAACCGAGATTATAATGAATCCAATAACATCAGTTTAAGTGACCAATTGTGAAGGTGGATTGCTTCCACTTGGTTAGGCCATGTGCCAGTTGTTTGCTCATGTGCCAATCCAGATGTTACTGTGAAGGTATTTTTAACATGTAAAGATCTTGAATAAAAGGGCCTGAGGTTGTAGCTCAGCAGTACAGCACTCACCTAGCACGTGCCAGGCCCTGGGTTAGATCCTCAGCACCACATAAAAATAAATGAATGAATAAAGGTATGTGTCCAACTACAACTGAAAAAAAAAATCTTGAATAAAGGAGATTACTCTCTATAACATGAGCAACCTCATACTGTTAGTCAAAGGCCTTAAGAGAAAAGACTGAAGGTCCCCAAGGATGAAGGAATTTTACCTTGAGTGTGGTTTTAGATTCAAGACAACACCAAATCTCATTGGAATTCTGAGCCTGTCAGCATCCCTTGAAATTTTCAGACTTGCCAGCTTCCACGATCTTTCTAAGTACATGCCCTATTGGCTCTGCTTCTCTGGAAAACTCTAGCATATCAATATGAAATCTTCCAACCATGGACATGACTGGGGGGAGGATCTCACAATATGGGAGGAGGAAGAGTCAATCATGGGAAAAAAAAAGGAACTAAAATGAACTCAGAGTAAGTGACACTAGTATGCAATTTTCAGTTAGTGCCTGTCAAAAGAGCTGACACTAATGAAAAGTAAATTCACAAATTTGCTTTTGTCCTTAAAAAAAAAAAAAAGTAGCCGAGCACAGTGGCACACTGTAATCCCAGAGGCTCAGGAGGCTGAGGTGGGAGGATCATGAGTTCAAAGCCAGTCTCAGCAACTTAGTGAGTACCTAAGCAACTCAGTGAGACCCTGTCTCAAAATAACATACAAAAAAGGGCTGGGGTGCTGGGTTGTGGCTCAGAGGCAGAGTGCTTACCTCACACATGTGAGGCCCTGGGTTTAATCCTTAGCACCATATAAAAATAAACAAAAAATATTAAAAACAAAAAGGGGGCTGGGGATGTTGCTTAGTGGTTAAGTATCCCTGAATTCAATTCCCAGTATCGGGAAAGAAAAAAAAAAGGTAAATGAAGCACCTCCTCTCTGCTAGGTGCTTTACATGTAATGAAGGAGGCGGGTGCTGTGTAACACATCCTTCATTTCACATGAGATCAGGGGTCAGGGAGGTGAAATGACTGGTTCAGTATCACCAACAAAGAATAGAATTGTCTAGATTTGAACCAGCTCTAACTTACACACCTGTGGCTGCCATCTACCCACGTGAACACACTGGAGAAGACAGGAATTACCATGTCAAGGAAAGGAGGTTCAGGACTATGGGGAAGTGTGGGTAACATAGGAAAGGCTTAAGCTAAAGGGTCAAAGCAAGCCCCAAAACCCCAAACCCAGGCAGCAAAAAAGGGTGAGCCCAGTACTGCCCAGATGAAGTTATACCTGCTGGGGTTTCAAACAGATTGTTGCATTCCCATGTTCACACCAGCACCATGAACAACAGCCAGAAGTGTCCATTGGCAGATGAATGGATAAGCAAATGTAGTCAATCCAGGCAACAGAATATTATTTAGCCATAGAAAGATATCAGACTCTAACACATGCTATAACATGGATCAATTATGCTAACAAAAATAAGCCAGACACAAAATACTGTGTATTGGACACAAAGGACAATGTATATTCATTAGGCTATGTATTCACAGGGCTACTAAAACAAAATACCATGAAACACACAATAGAAATTTTATTGTCTCACAATTCCAGAGGCCAGCAGGCTAAGATCAAAGTGTCAGCAAGTTTGGTTCCTTCTGAGACCTCTGTCCTTGGCTTGCAGATTGTGCTTTCTCCCTGTGTCCTCACATAGTCTTCCCTCTGTGTGTCTATCCTATCTCCATTTATAAGGAAGCCAGTCAGACTGGATTAGGGCCCACCCCAATGACCTCATTTTACCTCAGTTACCTTCTTAAAGGCCCTATCTCAAATACAGCCTCATTCTGAAGTACCAGGATTAAGGTTCAATACATGAGTGGGAATGAGGGGCAGGTATGACACAATTCAGTCCACTCCATACAACTGTTATGATTCCATTTATTTATTTTTTAAGAGATTTTAAGTATTTTTTTAGTTGTAGATGGACACAATATCTTTATCTTATTTTTTTATTTTTATGTGGTGCCGAGGATCAAACCCAGTGCCTCACGCGTGAGAGGCAAGTGCTCTACCACTGAGCAACAACCCCAACCCCATTATGATTCCACTTATACGAGGTACTAGAATAATCAAATTCAAAGATGGATGATGATAATTATACACTCTGAAAGTACTCAATGCCACTGAATTGTACATTTTAAATTACTTAAATAATTCTATTTTATATACATATGCATATATATGTCTATATATACACGTGTGTGTGTAAACACCCAAATATATATGTATACGTAAATATATAAAATTTTAGTGTGTGGCACTGGGGGTTGAAGCCATTTCACAAAATGCTAACCAAGTGCTCTACCACTAAAACACATCCTCCATCTCCCCATCCACTCTGGTGTTAAGAATCGAACCCAGGGACACTTTACCACTGAGCTT